TTTCCTGCTTCACTGATGCTGCCTGGCCTGCTGTGTTCCTCCAGCTCCACACTGTGTAATCTCTGACTCCAGCACCGGCAGGTCTTACTATCTCAGTATGAGCTTATTTACTGATTGTAAGAATAGAAAAACAGATGGAAGATTTTAGTTGATTTCAGGGAAACTTTTTGGTGTACTTTTACAAGAAACACAAAGGTGAATATATAGATACAGCAAGCAATTAGGAAAGTAACTGGCATGTTGGCCTTTCCTCAAGAAGATTAAATCACAAATCTTACTTCACATGTACAATGCTTTGAGACCACATCTGTAGTATTGTGTGCTGTTTTGATCTCAGTATTTCTGGAAGGATGTTTTTGCCTCCAAGATAGTACAGCAGATGTTGACTGGATTGATTTTTGGTATGAGAAAATTGTCCTGTCTTTAGAGGCTGAGTAACTTGGACCAACACACCCAGAAGTTTAGAATGAGAGGTACATAACAAGATTCTGAAGGGAGTGAAAAGCTGGATGCCTGAATGTTGTTCTCCTGGGAAATAGGCACTATCTCAGGATAAGTGATTGATCATTTAAGATTGACACAGGGGAGTTCTTCATTCAAAGAGATATAAATCTTTGGAATTCTGTTTGGTTTCATTAGGAGCAAGGAGATCTTGCTACATCTTTATAAAACATTGCTTAGGATACAGATGAAATACTGTGTGCAGTTTTGGTCACCACACTATCAGCAGGACATGATTGCACTGGAAACAGTGCAGAGGAGATTCACCAGGATGTTGCCTGGAATGGAAAGTCTCAGCTATGAGGAGAGACTGGACAGGTTTTGTTTGTTTTCCTTGGAGTAGAAGAGGATGACGGGGGAGATCTAATTTGAGGTATTGAAAGAGGCACAGACAGGTTAGGTTGTGAGAATCTTTTCGCCATGGCAGACATGTCTAAAGACGAGAGGGCATAAGTTTCAAGTGAGGAGTAAGTTGTTTAGAGGAGAGCTAGGAATTTTTTTTCACCGAGAGTGGTAGAAATATGGAGTGTGTTGCCTGAGAGTGTGGTCGAGGTAAGTACTGTCTCAACATTTTAGTAAAGTTTTATATCACATGGGATTCAGGGTGGGCTTGCCAATTGGATACAAAACTGGCTTGATGGTAGGAGACAGAGGGTGATGATGGAAGGTTGAATATCAGACTGGAGGCCTGAGGCCTGTGACCTGTGGTGTTCCACAGGGATTGGTACTGGATCCACTTTTGTCAGTGATATAAATGATTTGGATGAGAATATGAGGCATGGTTAGTAAGTTTGTAGATGACACCAAAATTGGTTGTATAGTGGACAGTGAAGAAGGTTATCTAAGATTACAAGGAGATCTTGATCAATTGGGTCAATGGGCTGAGGAGTGACAGGTGGATCTGTATGATTCTATGACTATGACTCAAAGCAATTGATAAGCACTTAAAATGCGAGGGCTTAGTAGGCTATGGATCAAATGCAGGTAAATGAGATTAGTGTAGTTTGGTGTTTATTATCTGGCATATGCATGATGGGCCAAAGGACCTATTTCTGCACTGTGTAATTCTATAGAGAGTTGTGGATGCTCTATTGTTGAGCATTTTCAAGATTACTATTGACTTTTTTTTAATCGTTCAGGGAATCAAGTGGTTAGAAGCAGGTGGGAAAGTGAAGCTGAGGTAGAGAAATTGTCATGATCGTATGGAATAGAAGTGCAGGGCTTAATGAGCTGACTGACCTACTTATCTTCTATTTTAATATCCATGAGAGAATTGCCCTGTTGGTTAATTGGCCATAGACAGATATGGTTGTTGATTTCAATTTGGCAGTTCAACTGACCTATGTTATCTAAATAAAGACAAAATACTGCACTTGCTGGAAATCTGAAACAAACACAGAATAATGGAGAAACTGTGGAGAGAGAAAGAATTAATGTTTTGAGTCTGGTACAAAGAAGTGTCATACCAGACTCAGCATTAACTCTGTTTCTCTCTCCACAGTTGCTACCAGACCTCCTGATTTTCTCTAGCATTCTCAATGTTATCTGAACTTCAAAAAAAAATTATTAAAATTAAATTGTCACAAATGTTTTCTGTAAAAAAAAAAATCTCCCTTCTTGGTTTGTGGAACTTAATGTTAATAACAGTTAACTTTTCTGTTGAAACAAAACAATTGGTCTCGATCTGGGCTCTCGTTCCTAATGCTCCTTATTTGTGCCCTTCACAACAGACAACTTCTTTAGCAAGGTTATGTTTTCTATAAACTGAAACTAAACCTTTATACTTTTAAAAAATATGGGCTCCACAGACAACCAAGCCAAAGAAATTTTATTGCATAGAAGTAAGATTTCATCACGTCTTGCATCATTTCAGAAAACTTAATTTGTGTGTTAAGTCAGGTTTCTTTTATAAAATTGAATGGAGAAGCAAGTAAGGTCTGTGAGATGTTATGCAGCAGCTCAATTACCAAGGTCCCCAGAACTATAGTAGTATCCTGGCAGAATTTGGGGAAATGCATTGTTATCTCCACTTAATGCATTTTTACCTTTAACTTAATAGGCTCATTTTCTGTAGAAAATTTGGCCATAAATCATACCTTTTGTTAAGAAACTAATAATATATAATGTATTACATACCATAAAACTAGCATTAGCGTTTAACAGCATCTTCAAATCATGCATGATTTAGAATTGCTTAAATGGCAAAAGACAACATTGTCTCCTAAAAAGCTCCAGTGTAGAAAACACAAGGCCAACAACCAAACTCAGAAACAAATACTTTTATACTGCTGGCTTTGCTCAGGCTTAGTCCTTCTAAGTATATAACCTGGTCATGGTTGTGCTTTAACACCTGGCTTTCTCTTTTTGACAAGCCAAGTGTTCCACAAAAAATCTGTAGACCAAGAAAGTGGTGTGATACTTTTCTAAGTAGTGCCAGAGAGATCTTTGTTACTGTCTAAGTTATTTGCATTCTTGCCTTTTCCAATATTTGCATGGCCGACCTTCAAACTTTTACCTTGCTCAAACAAAACTCTGCATAGTGGTAATTTAATTTGCGCCAAGTCTTGTTCACCTGGCACCCAAACTAGATTCCTGTCTGATAATGCTTTAATGTTAATTTTCCTCATCCTTTTCATAGGAAGAGGAGTAGGCCAATTGTGCTTCTTGTTCTTATTTTCCCATTCCGTGAAATAATGATTGATCTGCTTTAAGCCAGTTGCTTAAGAAAGTTCCAAATTTCTTCTTCCATCCACACATTGAAATGTTTCTTCACTTCTTCTCAAAGATCTGGTTCTAAGATGATGATCTCAACCAGTGAAATTAGTCTCTCTCCATCTGCCTTACCTGCTTCCATTGATAGCATGAAAGTTTAAATAAAATCATCCCTTACTCTTGTACACAGGAAAATACAAACCAAATATGTGTGATCATTCTATGTAATTTAATTCTTGGAGTCCTGGATTATTCTGGTAAATTTATACTGCATTACCTCCAAGGCCAATATATCCTTCCCAAGATTTGGTGTCTTGAATTGTTCCCTATTCCAGTTATGGTCTAATAAGGACTTTGTGTATGTTTTGAATGGCTTCTACCCCCTTTGTTTTAGTCCTTTTAGGTATATATTCCAGAATTCTGTTAATTAATTTAATAATAATCTATATATCTCCATGAAATTTTAATAATCTATGTACCTGGAATCCCAAGTCTCTTTGGATCTCCACTGTTTCTAATTTTCTCACCATTTTAAAAGTACTCGAATCTGTCCTTTTTAGCTTTAACATGGATGATCACAGACTTACCTACATTGAAACTTGTTTGCAAGATTTTTGCCCATTCAATTAATTGTTAATATCATTGTAATTTTATGCTTCCAAATACCCTGCATACAGTGCTTGATTGTAATCATCCATCACCGTTCAGAACTGGATGTGGCAGGACTGCGGAGCTTTGATCTGTTGGTTGTGGAATCATTTAACTCTGTGCTTGTAGCATGATGCTTCCATTGTTTAGTACAGTCTCCTAAAATTTTATTCTCTTGATTATCCAAAAGCACAACTAATAAAACAGAATAATAGAAATGTTTTCAAACCCATTTATTTGAGGAACAGCACTTTTGAAAGATAATGTGAAAGAAAAGTTAGGCCCCAATAATGGGAAGCATTAGTGCACTTTCTGAACTGCAATAAGTACTGTATTGAATGTGTAGCACAGAAAATGGTGGTTAAAAATCACCTTCCCAATAAAACAATTTTTGACTCCAAATCAGATTTTTTTTCTTTGTTCATTCACTGGATGGGGGCCAGGATTTATTGCCCATCCCTAAATACCCAGGGGGCAGATACGAGTCAACCATATTGCTGTGTGTCTGGTCTCGCATGTAGGGCAGACCAGGTAAGGATGGCAGTTTCCTTCCCTAAAGGACATTAGTGAACCAGGTGGGTTTTTCCTGACAATCAGCAATGGATTCATGATCATCATTAGACTCTTAATTTCAGATATTTATTGAATTCAAATTCCACCATCTGCCGTGGCGGGATTCGAACCCAGATCCCAAGAACATTACCTGGGTCTCTGGATTAACAGTCCAGCGATAATAACATTAGGCCATTGCCTCCCCTTAAGATATCAGAAATGATTACCAGAAGCTTCGTAAATGAAGTGTATGTTTTAAGAAGCAACTATAAAAGAGGGAGAGGGGTGTTTCTGGAGAGATTTCTAGATGTTAGCATGGAAGTATCTGAAATCATGTGTGACAACAGTGGACCTTTTGAAATCAGGGTGCAAAACTCACCACCATCAGCTTGGTAAATGCTGACAGCTTGTAGGATTGGAAGAGGTTACAGAGATAGGGAGGGACAAGGTCTTGGAGGCATCTGATGCTGATTTATGGATTTGTAAAGGATAACTCATGCTTTATGAATTTGATTGAATTTTCAGAAGAGTTGACTAAAGTTGTGGACTGGGAAATGTCTATGTTTGTTATTTATATTGACTTCCAGAAGCCATTTGACAAGGTCCCTCATAAGACTATATCAGCTAAAGTTGAATATCTTGGAGTTGATGGAAATTGGTGTGTAAGAAGAGCCGGAGAATAAGAACATTGGAAAGATTGTTACTAGTAGTGTTGCAGAAGGCTGTGTTTGGGCCTCAACCAGGGGAGGTGGTTGTAATGCTACTGGATAAGTAATCCAGACCTCTAGGCTGATGTCCCTGAGACATGAGTTCAACTTCTACCATGGCAACTGGTGAGATCTGAATTCAGTAAAACTGAGGAATTTAAAAAAAAAAGTTAATCATTAATCATTGTTGATTGTCGTAAAGGGCATTGGTGAACCAGATGGAATTTTAAGGAAGAAATCTCATGTTTTTAGCTTGTCCAGCCTACACAAGACTCGGACACTTGGCAATGTGGTTGACTCTTAACTGCTGTCTGGGCAATTGGGGATGGACAGTAAATGCAGGCATATCCCATGAAAGAATAAAGAAGACTATTCATTAGCAACTTGGATGACGGGGAGAAAACAATAAATCCAGGTTTGCCGATGACATGAAGGCAGTGCCATCCAAACCCATGACCTCTGTCAGCTAGGACGAGAACCTGAGGTTCACACTCACGTTGTGTACCACTCTGAGTCCGAACTATATCGCCATTCTTTCTCTGTCACTGGATCGAAATCCTTGAACTCTGTCTGTAATGGCAATCTATACACGGACTACAGTGCTTCAAAAAGCTGCTCAGCAGCATCCTTTCTAAAGAATAAATGCTGGCCTTGAAGTGATGCTTGCACCTCGAGGGGAAAATAGTTTTAAAAAAGGAAATCAAAGGACTAGCAAAAGTTGTAATAAATTTTATAGATTACTGCTTTGACCTTAACTGCAGTATTTTGTCCACAGTCAAGGCCATGGAGAATGCAGGGAAGAGTTCTGAAATTAAACCAGAGGTGCATTACCTCAGTAGTATGGATAAAGTTGAGTTTGTTCTCTATTGAACAAATATCATTAAGGGGAGATTTAATGCAGGTGCGAAAATTATGAAGATACAATTTCATGATACTGTAGTCATTGAGTCATACAGCATGGAAATAGACCTTTTGGTTCAACTCGTCCATGCCGACTAATTTCCCAAAACCAAACAAGCCCCACTTTCCTATGTTTGACTCATATCCCTCTAAACCTTTCCTTTTCATGTACCTGTCCAAACATCTTACAGTTTTAACTGTACCTGCATCTACCACTTCCTTTGGCAATTCATTCCACATTCACAAACCACCCTCAGTGTGAAAAAGTTGCCCCTCAGGTCCCTTTTTAAATCTTTCTCCTCTCACTGTAAAAATATGTCCCCAGTTTTGAACTCTCCCGCCTATGGAAAAGGCCTTTTCTATTCACCTTATCTATGCCTCTCATGATTTTATAAACCTCTATAAGGTCACCCCTCAACTTCCTTTGCTCTAGTGGAAAAAAATGTGTCCCAGCCTATCCTTGTAGTTCAAACCCTCCAGTCTCAGCAACATCCGGGTAAATCTTTTCTGAACCCTCTCCAATTTAATATCATTCCTACAGCAGGTGGCAAAAGAACTAATGGGAAGGTAAGATTTTGGTTACAAATTACTTGTTATGAAATGCAGTCCCAGAAAGGGACTGGAAGCAGATTAGTAAATTTTAAAAGGGAATTAGATGTACCTCATAAATTGAATGGCTCTTTCAAAGAGCTAACACAGGCACAATAGAATGAATAGGCTCACTCTGCTCAATGAGTCTAAATGTTGTCAGTTGTAGTTTGGATACATTGAGCGCTTGGTTACCACCAGGTTTTACTTTATCACAATTCTCCAGAAAGGACCAGCAACTTTTACTTAACAAATTATCATTTAAGAAGTTATTCCTTTTACAAGGTAGTCTTTTAAAAAAACACTCCTTAAGAAATTTCTGAAGAAGGGTCTCGACCCGAAATGTCAGCTTTCCTGCTCCTCTGATGCTGCTTGACCTGCTGTGTTCATCCAGCTGTACACCTTGTTATCTCCTTAAGAACTGTTCGTTCTTTTGTATGGTTACTATGTTATTCTCATTAACTATTTTACAGACAAACCTTGAATGCAAGTGAAACACCTGCAGTTTTAAACAGCGAACGTGTGACCAACAAACAAAGGGATTGTCTTGCTGATCGTGCTGTGTCATCCACCTCATTAACTGGAAAACAGAAGAATGAACAAATACCACAGTTTCTTAATACCTTTGGGATAAAGTGAGTAATGATACCTTCAATAACCAAATCTTATTACAGTATCAGTATGATTTTAAATATTTACCATATGATCTAATAATAAATAAGCAAAGCCTTAGTTTAATTAGCATGCAACCATGTTTATAAACCTATAACAACATATGGCTTCCAACTTGTGTTGATTCCTCTAGCGAGAACAGTGTGTTTCAATTTTTAAGTCTACAGCCATTTATCATTTCATGAGCTCTGGAACCTTTTCTACATTGAAGAGCTAAATTATATTGGAATTGAGAAATCACAGAACGTACTGGCAAAGTATTTTTAAAAATAATCCGCTTACAAAAATTATTCTAAGACTGTTGTAACATGCTCTGTGTTAAAAATGTCATAACTTTGAGATTTACCTCAACTGAAACTGAAGTAACAAAAGCATCATGATCATTCCCTGAAAATTTCTTTGGTATTTGGGGGAATGAAGATGAAAACATTTATTTTAAAAAAATGCATCTTATTCTTCAGCAATCCAACCTTCACTTATAGTTGTAAGTTTTTGTAATTTATGTGGCTTGTCCTGTTAGGTTTTTGGTCAATAGTAAGCCTCAGGATCTTGATAGTGGGGATGGTTATGTAGTTGAATATTGAGAGAAGGTGGTTAAATTCCCTTTTGTTGGAGACTGTCATTACCTGGCACTTGTGTAATACGCATGTTACTTGCTCCTTACCAGCCAAAACCTGAACATTGTCTATACCTTACTGCATGTGAAATCCAGAATACTTCAGTATTTTAAGAGTCATCAAACACTACATTCTTCAGCAAACATTCCCACTTCTGAATTTGTGATGGAGGAAAGATTATTGATGAAGCGGCAAGAAATGGTTAGCCTAGGACCCCACCCTGAGCACATGTCCTGGAGTTGAGATGATTGGCCTGCAGCAACCGTCACAACTTTTCTTTCCAATTGGCTGGGGTGAATGTAACAAATTCAGAAGGTTGGCAGTAGACACTTAAATACTTAACCTAAAAATACCCTTCCTCGGCCATTTGAAAATGGTAAGAGAGCATTTATCAAATTTTAACATTACTGACCACAGTTATGCATGTGCTTTGGCATTATGCCAACCAATATTCCTTACACTAGAATAGAAATTGATAATTTTTCAAAACATGTTCTTCATAGGCCAGCTGTTTCCGTGTTACCACAACCAAAGCAAGATATTTGCACAGGTACAGCACCTGTCCATGAATTTGAGTTTGAATTGGAAGAGGAGGAGAGCTTCTGTTTTGAATCATGGATTACAATACCAAAGAAAGCTATAAACCAGAACCCAGCTGAACAGGAGAAGAAATCTGCCTCGCCTGCAAAGAAAACAAAAAAGGAGAGAATACAGAAGACGGAACCAAAAAGAAAAGTAGCCGTTCAATTAAAAAAGAAAATTGATGAAAAACAATTTAAAAACAAAAATAAACAATCAAATAATGAAAATCAACCAAAATACTCTGGGAAAAGATCTACACGTCGATTGAAAAATAATAAAATTGTTGTTAATTCTGAGAGAGAGGAACAAGAAATACAAAATGTATCCTTATCACAATCTGAATACTTGCCATCTCCCAAACTAAAAAAAGAAAGAAAAAAACAAGGAAGAACAAGAAAAAAATCGATAGGCAAGTCTGGCAGAGTTGAAGGTCAAAAGGAGTTACAGGATTTGTGTGTTAAGCATAATGAAAACAGAAATGATAAGTCATGCCTGGCTGAACAAGATGTGACTCCTTCTAAGAGACTCTTGAAGTCTGAAAACTCAGTAAATTTGCCTGGGTTCCATAACTATGAAAAAAAATCAGACCAAACTTCATTTGCAAACTCGCAAATTCAAAGCCGAAAGAAAATGAAGAAAAGACAAGGACAAAAACCAGCAGGTAACTTCTTAAATTTTTCTGTTTGTCTTTCCTGTAATGATATGGATCACTTGTTAATTTGTATAAATAAAACTGAAAAGTGCATATTGTGATCTAATAGTTAACTGCTGAGACTTCAGTCACCAGAGGCAATATCAGTAAGGTTACTGTTAGGTATGTAAGTTGTTAGTGGGTGGGTTGATGTTAAATGGCTAATCAGAATTTGAAATAGTTAGCAAGTATTGAGTGCAGTATAAGAAAGAGGGCAGTTGTGCCTTCTATGTTTCAGATGATAGCCAAATTGTGCTTCTTCATGTGGGTTCAGCTGGAATTATGTGCAACTCTTGGGAAGATACAATTAGTTTGCGAGAAAACATTTGGAAGTGTTATTGCTAAAACCTATAATTGGAGAATGGATCTTGCATATGCATGTTTGAGGGAAGAATTTGTATATTCAAAGTATGTTCAAATTAAAATAAGCCTTTCGTAGCCTAATTTCTGTATTCTGCATGTCTACTCTCTCATGTTCAGTATATTCAGATTTAATTTTGTTAAAAATGCAAGGCCAGCCAATTAGGTTTCTCTGAAATTCGATATAATCTTTGGTACATTTTATTTTTTTGCCACATTTCAGCATAGTTGGTCTACTTATTTAATCTCAAATTGTTATATTACCTCTATACAGGTATTTCTGCTATGATGTGTTTCGTTAACGCCAATTGACTGTAATGCAATTGATGGGTAGTGCGTGTTGTTTGGATAATGCAAACTTTTTACTGTGCAGTATAGCGATTTTCTATAGTGATTTCCCAATAACGTAATTTTCTACAGTGTGACTTTCTCTTGCGTGAGGTCGCACAAAAACATAACTATCGTGTAATAGGAGAACTACCTGTACACTTTATTTTTTTAATTATTAATTCATGGGATGTGAATATTGCTGGTAAGCCCAAAATTTATTGCAATTAAAAAGGTAGTGGTGAATCACCTTTTTGAACTTCTGCAATCCTGTCCTTAAGGTGAAAGTACACTCTCGACCTTTTAAAGAGGGAGTTCAGGATTTTGACCAAAATAGATTTCCAAATCTGGATGGTGTGTAATATTGGGGCTATTTGCAGGTACTGATGTTAATGTGAACCTGCTGCCCTTGTCTTTTTAGGTAGTAGAAGAAGGGGTGGCAAATAGCTGCAGTGCATCTTCTAAATGGTACACAGCAGATACAGCATGCCATTGGTGGATAAATGAATGTTTAAGGTGGTGAATAGGTGTCAAATAACTGTCCTGCGTTGTCTTGAATGGTGTTGAGCTTCGTTTCCACTTTTAACTCGTATGGAGGAACAGTCATTGAAGCAGCCGAAGGGGATTGGGCACAGGATGCTAACCAGAAGAACTTCTGCAGTGAATACTTAGGGCTGAGATGGTTTGCCTCCAATCATCACACCCATCTTCCTTTGTTTTAGATATGACTCCAACCAGTGGAGAGCTTTCCCTCCTCATTCCCATTGCCAAACTTGATCAACTGCTGCCTTGATGTCAAGGGCAATCTTGCCTGCATTTGGCCTATATTCAGCCAAACATTCCTTATTCAAGTACTCATCCAGGTGTGTTTTTAAACATTGTAACCGTACCTGCATCCACCATTCTGTCTGATAGTTCATTCCACACGAGCCCCTCTTTGTGTGAAAAAGTTGTCCGTCATGTCTTTTTTAAATCTTTCTCCTTTCACCTTACAAATATGCCCCCTAGTTTTGAATTCCCCCAACCTAGGGAAAAGACCTTTGCTATTCATCATATCTCTGCCACTCACCATTTTATAAACCTCTACGGTCACCCCTCAACCTCCTACAGTCAAAAAAATACCAGCCTATTCAGGCTATGTTTCATAACTCATAACCTCCATTCCCAGCAACATCCTGTTAAATCATTTCTTAAACCCTCTCCAGTTTAGTAATATCCTTCCTATAACAGGGCGATCAGAACTGCACACAGTACTCCAGAAGAGGCTGCGCCAATGTCCTGTACAACCTCAACATAACATTCCAACTCCTATACTCAAAGGTCTGAGCAATGAAGGCAAGCATGCTAAATGCCTTTTTAACCAATCTGTCTACCTGTGATGCAAACTTCAAAGAATTATGTTCCTGAAACCTTAGGTCTCTGTTCTACAACACTACACAGGACCCTACCATTAGTTATATAGGTCCTGTCCTTGTTTGTTTCACCAAAATGCAATACCTCGCATTTATTCAAATTAAACTCCATTCGCCACTTCTCAGCCTGTTGACCCTATTGATCAAGATCTCTTTATAATCTTCGATAACCTTCTTCACTGTCCGCTATACCACCAATTTTGGTGTCATCCGCAAACTTACTAACCATGCCTTCTATATTCTTGTCCAAATCATTTATATAAATGACAAACAAAAGTGGACCCAGTACCGATCCCAGTGGAATACTGCTGGTCACAGTTCTCCAGTCTGTGAAACAACCCTCTCCTGACATCAAACCTATTTTGTATCCAATTGGTAAGCTCACCCTGAATCCCATGTGACCTAACTTTACTAATCAGTCTTCGATGTGGAACCTTATCGAAGGCTTTAATGCTGAAAATGAGATTCTCACCTCAGGTCTAGAATTTAGCTCTTTTTCCATGTTTGGACCAAGTCTGTAATAAAGTAATGTTGTCTTGAATGAATCTAAGCGGAGCATCAGTGGTTATTGGTAAATTTAAGTTTTCTTGGGAGAGATGGTGTTAATAATCCAGAAGATTATCTAAATGCTCTTTATAGCAGTTCAAATTCTAGTACTGCAGTTGGTGGAATTTAAATTCCGTGACTAAGTCTGGAAATGAAAGCTAGTCTTAGTAATGGTGACCATAAAATTAGCATCAGCCATTGTACATGTCCATCTGGTTCACAAATATCTTTTGTGGAAGTAAATCTCCCATCCTAACCTGGTCTTGCCTACATGTGACTCCAGATCTACAGCAACGTGGTTGATTCATAACTGTCTTCTGAAACGGCCTTGCATGCTACCTAGTTCAAAGGCAATTAGGGATAGATGACAAATACTGGCCTTACCAGCAGCACTCACATGCCACAACAATATAAAGGAGAACATAACACCATTGATGGCCTCGTCCAACGTTTTGCTGATTAATGAGATTAAACTGATCCGATGCTAAATGACCTGATTATGTTGTGGTGTTGTATTTTTTTGTGGAGAGGACATCCCTGTGCACTTTCTTGTGTCAAATAGATGCCAATGTTATGGATGCACTGGAATAACTTGTCCAAAGGGAAGACTAGTTCTGGTGCACAAGCCTTCACTAATTTGTCAAGGCCCACTGCTGTGTCTAGTGCGTTTAACTGTTTCCTGCTATTGTTTGGAGTGGAAATAAAAGATCTGCTGAACTCTACATTTTGTATTTGAGTGTATTGTTCATATAGCCAAGTTGAATTGATTGACTTTTCAATCATCTATATACAGTAAAGATCACATTATGCAACACTATAATAACTGGAATCTCCATTATACCCTGATGTCTTCAAATGATATGAACCTTAAAAATTTTTGACTTTCCAGTGAGGATGATAGTCTCAATTTGGAACTGTTTATTAATGTTTTTCTTGTTTGTGCTTCTTTCCCCTTGAGCCAATAGGATGTGTGGCTGAGCTAGTCACAAAATGCAACAATACATTTCCACTCCAGCCAGAAAAATGAGGGACAGGAGCAGCTCAACGTGACAAGTGCAGAGCAGTATTTGTTTACATTGTCACCTGTCTCTTTCTCTTTCATCAACAGCAATTTGGTTATTAAATGCTCAACTAAGCTTTATGAAGAGTGTCTGTTGTCTATAATATTCAGCTCATCCATGCGACAGCATCACTACTTCAGAACAATGCATATCTTTTCCATCTTTGTCACAGCTGTCATTGGAACAATATCTCTTTGATATGTTGATTGGATTGCAACCAAGCCAATTTTGCTATACAGGCATACCTGTATTAAAACTTTGAATGTCCATTTGAAATTTTGACAGCGCTGTTGCAAATTTTCTTTGAGGAAATATTGCTATAGGCACGTAAATGGGCAAGTATAGGTGGAGAGAACCTGGAGTGTTTTTTTTTAAAACAGGAGCTGAAATTTGAAATTCAAAGTGCTCAAAATAGAATTCCAGAAGAAACTTTGCAGCTAAGTTTTCAAGATTAAGGATAAAAATGCTGTCACCTATTGCCTCAATGCTAACAATAATTACTAATCTGGTATTACAACATCTTGCAATACTATCAGAATTACTAATTCCATGATCCAGAGACAAAAAGTAGAATGCGCTTTATTTGGAGAAGTTTGAGATAAAGCCAGAATTCCCATATACCTTTAAAACCTTTCTCAACCTATTTTGCTACTTTAATTGATTTTTGGAAATATAGCCCCAGTCCCTGTCTGCTTGTGCCATCTTTGCACTGTATCCAGTATCCTGACCTTTTGGAAAATTGCCCAAAGTAAGTCCTAATACACAATAAGCAGGACCAATTCAACCCAGCCAATTACTACCCCATCACTTTACTCTCAGTCATCAGTAAAACAATGGTGTCATCAACAGTGCTATCAAGCTGCACTTCCATAGCAATAACCTTCTGGGCCTTAGTTTGGCTTACGCCAGGTCCACTGAACTCTTGACCTCATTACAGCCTTGTTCCAAACATGGAATGCCAGAGGTGAGGTAAGAGTGACTGCCCTTGACGTCAAGGTCACATTTGACTGATTGGGCATAAGGAGTTCTAGCAAAATCAGATTCAGTGGGAATCTGGGGAAACTACCTGCCGGATGGAGTCATATCTGGCCCAAAGTAAGATGATTGTGGAGGTTGGAGTTCTGTTGTCTCAGTTTATGTCTGCAGGAGTTTCTCAGGGTAATATCCTTGGCCCAACCATATTCAACTCCTTCATCAACGACCTTTCCTCCACCGTAAGGTCAGAGGTGAGGTGTTTGCTGATGACTACACAATGTTCACCATT